AAAAAACAGTATACCTTACTGAAAGTAAGCAACTTATTTAATAGACTGAGATGATTAAAAACAATATATTAGAAAATTTTTGTGTTTTTTTCAGCATTAAAAAGCTATCCCCTGTCATAGTAAGTATTTAAATGAACCAAGAGTTGCAAATTAAGAAAAAGATGCCTTTAACATTTAAAGCAATAAAAGTTTTATTAATTGATCAATGATGTCCTAGAAAAAAAATTAACTAACTAAAATTTTAGAGAAAAAAAAATTAAAGAAGTGAGTTAAAATATTGCATAGTTTTGAAATCACACATAATAGGCTATTAATGAGTTCGATAACTATCAATCTTTAAGATGGGGGCCAGGAGATGGAGTAGCAGTTATGTCGCTAGACTCCCGCATAGCCAGCCATGGTTTGATTACTAGGCGGGTGTCTTGAATATCATGCTGTGAGCATGTGGGTCCATGCCCAAGATCTCAAGAGGAGAATGGAGGAGAAGGAATCACAGTGGGTGTGGTCATCTTCTTTCTGCGTGATTTCTCACTTTTCTTTTCACTTTCTCTGTCTCTCTCTCTCTCTCTGGTGAGTGCTCATGCAAAAATCTATTTAAAAATCCCTATTAATGGAAAGGATGTACGTTATTAGTTTGTCTCTAAAAAGTTTATTATTTACTGGGTGTTGTTCTTAACACACATGCAAACACCAACTATTACTTCATAAAATCACCCTTAAAGGTGAAAAGTAAGGTTGAATACTAGCCAGAGGCAAAAAAATAAAAAGAAACCCTTCACGTTATGCCAAAATTTATTTGTTCTTTGATACAATTGTTTTGTATTCTGTTCTTTCTGGAGGGCAAAATGTACAATTTGAAGGTTTTTTGTTTAACTGTTTAAACAATGGTTAACATTATTTATTAATATATAGCTTATTTTATTTTAATTTAATTTCTTTTATACATTCAATCACATACATCTCCTTACAAACCAAATGATGTGATTGAATCATCAAAGAAATTAAGATAAAATAAAATATATATGTGTTCTTTATGGAAGAGATGAGTCTTTTTTAAAGCAAGTTAACTGCAGTTCTGCTATGCTGATATTCACATTTTTCTTAGCTCATGTAGTATACCAGATCACTGTGGAAACTTTTTGCAAGTCAAAAGTTTGTCATTGTTTTCTAGAATATGGCATTACTGACAGGAGGATTAATATGCTCCCTCTCACGTCAACAGTGTTAAAAGTACTGTAAATAGCTATCTTTTGACATCAGTGTTAGTGAAAATTCAGAAACAGTGCTAAAATTCTGACCACATAAATAGAATCCAAGATAGCTCATGAAATAAAGTGGAAAATAAGATAGATCGAATATCTATTTTTTTAAATTGTATTCATCCTCTCACAACACATGCAACTATGAAACTATGATATCAGTTTTATTTTTGTAAAAATTTGTTAAGATTCAAAGATTATGTAATTTTTATTTTATTATTTTATTTTATTTATTTATTTAGGTTTTCAACATATGGTGTATGAACTCATCAGGGAGAGACAGAAGATATGTAGAAAATCATGCCCAGGGGGATAACTATGCCACAATTCCTTCTCCATTCTCTTTTTTGGAATTTTGGGCATGTACTCACATGCACCTGTAGTGATTTTCAAGACACCTGGTCAGATACTCAAACCATTGCCAGTCATATGGAAGCCTAGCACCTTAATTACCATACCAACTGCTGGCCCCAATTATTAAATAATTTTAATTAACCTCTTGTTTTACAAATTGTACAGTTATCCTAATGGGGAAACAAAATAAATGAAAGTGAATGGTAAGAACCTAGCAGCAGCATTTGGTATAAATTTTCTAAATTAAAATAAATATTTTACTATGCAATAAGAATCCTTATGTATTAAAAATGGCTGAGCTATCAATTAACAAGGAGAGATTACATACATTTTAATATTTAAATCTTGAAAATTCAAACCCTCTTGTATATAAGAAAGAAGTAATTTCATTATGAAGCATGGTTCACATTCTTTCAAAAATACAGATCTCTGCATAATAGTTCTACTTGGTCTTGTCAATAAAATTTCCTAGGATAAGTGTGGTTTAATTAATAATAGTATTTTTCCCTTAGCATTCTTATATTTTTAAAATTTCCATTTAATCCCCGTACATTTTACAGCATACAAAATGATTTTCCCAACATGAACACAGTACAGATTAGTCAAGTCATAGATATTACCATGTGTATTACCATCAACAGTTAACCTTTCATTTTTGTTTCTGTTAAAAAAAAAAAACAACCCAGTTGAAAAACTGAGCAAAAGAGCAGAACAGACAACTCTCCAAGGAAGACATACAAATGGCGAAAAAGAAAATGAAGAAATGCTCAATATTTATTATCATAAGGTATCACAATGAGATATCACTTAACACCAGTCTGAATAGCTAAGACTGAAAATATACACAATGATAAATGCTGGTGGGGTTATGGTGAAAAGGAAACTCTCCTACACTGTTATTGGGAATGTAAATTAGTACAGCCACTGTGAAGAACAATTTAGAGGTTCCTCAAAAATCTACAAATAAACTATGATACAACCACTCTTGGCATCTACCCAAAGGATAGGAATACACTCTATAGGAAAACACTTGTGCATCCATTTTTATTGCAGCATTATTAGCAATTGCTAAGTTAAAGAATCAGCCCAAAGGTCCAAGAACAAATGAGTATATTAAAAAAATGTGGCACATTTATACTATGAAATACTACCTAGTTATAAAAAAAAGGAAATCCTCACACTTGATTCTAACTGGACATACATGGAAGATTTAACGTTACATGAATGCCTGCGTTCTGTGGCAGACATTGAAAGGTTGGAAGGTATAATAATGGGAGGGCAACTGAAGATACATGTGACAAACATAGAAAGGGCGGGTAATCGGAGGCATGAGGAAGACAATAAGGGGAAGAAATTTTTTTTTTAACTTTCCATCTTTCTTTTCTTTTTTTTTTTTTGTTTTGGAGAGGTTTTTGCTATAGGGCATGCACGCTCGCCAGACAGACAGAGAGAGACAGAGAGACAGAAAGCGAGAAATCATCCCCCAGGGGGTATGGCCACGCTGCAATCCCTTCTCCTCTGTTCTCCTCTCAGGATCTTGGGCACGCATGCACACGCGCCCGGCTTCAGTTTTAAGCCACCAGTTTGCGGCTCGAACCGTGGTCGATTACGTGGGAGTCCAGCGACATAGTCATTACACTAACTGCTGGTCCCTAATCTTTCTTTTCAAGTTGAAAATTTTTTTTTTCAGTTTTAGTACAAAAGTCTCAGAATATGACTCTATGATAAATAACTTGTGTATCGCCAAAACAATTTGAGTAAGCAAGTAAGCACATTGAGAAAGTATTAAATAGAGACCAGCAGATGGCCTAATGATTATGTCGCTGGACTCCCATGTCTTCCACTGTGGTTTGAGTCCTGGAACTGACAACTTAAAATGCACTTTGGGCATGTGCAAGTGTGTGCCCAAGATGGCAAGCGGAGAATGTTAGAGAAGGGATTGCAGCATGACCATTCCCCAAGGAAGGTGATTTCTTGCTTTCTGTCTCTCTGTTTCCCTCTCTCTCTCTGGTGAGGGCATGCACCCTATAGCAAAAAGTATCTCTTAAAAAAAGAAAAAGGAAAAGTATTAAATATATTACTAGCATATGTGATGAGACCTTATATCAAGCATTAATCTGTCACATGGATAAACATTCATTCAGATCACTTTTCCTCAAACACTGCTTCAAAAATATGGGACACATTATCCTTTACCAGGAATATGAATGTTAGGAAAAGGAAATCGAAGGATTTTACTGCAAGTTTCTCCAGCAAATTTAAAGACTACATTGTTGCTCTCTGATATTAAGGGGTTAAACAGGAATATTTCTCACTAATTTATAACAAATTAGACTACAAGAAGAAAAAACTAATTGTATTTAAATTTTGCAAGCTACTTTCCAATAATTACTAGTGCGTCATAATTTTATATATGTTATTTGAGAACGTCATGTAAAATAATTGTTGTTCAACTCACATCTTCAACCCCCATTGCTTTGTACAGATAATTTCCTCTGTGGAACAATAAGCCGTTACCTTCATTACACCGTGGGTCATACTGTGATGCTATGACACCGTCATTTGCTTTCTCTAAAACATGCACAATGCACCACGTCCTGGTGTTTAGCTATCATTACATTTTATGTCATGCAGTTATCAGTCAGTTATTGAGTCTGAAGTGTGTCTTCAGTGAATACAAATGCCACAAGACCAATAATTCTGTTATTCAAAACTAGAAATTTTATTTCAGAAGAAGGATAAGTGGAGGCAAAAATATAGCCTTATTATTTTGATTTGTGCCCAGTTACACTGATAGTAAAGTGAAAGTGATATTATAATAAAAAGGACTTTAGAAATTGAATTATTAACATTGTGAAATCAGTCAGGATCTTGTTTTGATAAATCTTGGTAAAATCTAGTAATATTTAGTTGACATGATGTATGCATAATGCCCACAGCTTATTCAAAATTTGAAGATTGATATCCAAGTTTTACATGGAGAGATAAATATTAAAATGATATAGAATAAAAGTGATTATGATAGAGCTTTTAAATAAGACATGAGCATACTAAAATATCACACCATAGCTTTTTAAACTAAGGATTAACCTTCCATGAGAACTATTCTGTGGAAAGAAAGAAAATAATAAAAATTTTAGATGCGTACAGTGCTACCTAAAAATCCTGTTTTAATTCACATTATCAGTAACTCCACAGTCCTTTCTCTCCTGGCTCATGCATATACTATTTCATAAAATCAGACAAGGAGTACCATTTATTTGAATTAGAACTCAATACGTCCCACACTATTGAAATAGTACAGGAGTTCACTCAGAGAAACATCACTATTATCATTATACATTATAACCTTTCAGACAAAGGAAAATACTGCTTTTGTCTCCACAGGTGCAAAGTGCTTTCACTGCAGAAAAGGGATCACTACAGAAGCACGCTTGGGACCCCTCAGTGTTACTCTCTTGCACTAACAATTTCAACTACACCGCAAAGATGAAAAAGCAAGTACCTACCTTTTCTCACAGTAAAACGAAGTGTCTTCCAAAGGAGTGTAAAATAGAAGCCCTTTCCAGTTTTTTTTTTGTTTGTCTTTGTCTTTGTTACTTCTAATGATAAGACAACATGATAAAAAATAATACTATAGCATTCTTACCACTTTGAGAAAATGTCCTGCAAAATTGTGTACTTTTAAATGAAAATAATCAAACACACATGTGCCTTGGATAATACGCTTCAACAACACAATTTTCAATAGAGCCTAGAGAAAGATATCATCCTTGATTGAAGTTATTTCAGATAAGTTTATTTTTGCTAGCGTCGTAGTACATTATTAAACATTCTCAGGCAAGCTAAACCTTCCTTCCAAGTGTAATCCTCCCAGTCACCCACCGTCTGTTAGATAGGAACCTTCCGTCATCAAAAGTCGCTGTGAAAATCTACCATGGCCTGCACTAGGTGTGTCTTCTTCTCCATTACTCACACCATTCTAAGGCACGTAGGGCCATGGGCTCAATAGCTGCCCGGGTTTTCTCAGGAATCCATCCTAATATTGAATTTGCAAAGCAGTTGAGAGAATGCCGTCCAACTCCATCTTAATCTCTTTTCTGGAGATAATAACTCATTTAGTCAATTCACTTGCATCAACCTCTTCACGTTCTGTCTCCTGGAATGGTAATCCACTAACTCCTCACTTGCTTGTCATTTGACACAGGAACTAAAAAATGTTTGGACTGTTCACACGACGGAGAAAAGGGCACCCTCTGTCATTATTGCAAACTACAATTCTTACTTGCTTGGAGATCTTCTCTTGATTCATTAGCAATCATTCTTCTTCAGTATGCTAATGTGAAGATGTTAGCAATTAGAACTGTTTATTTACGAATAAATGCATAGGGTGCTTGATGTTGTACTGTTATAATTTCTTGACCACTAGGGTAGCTACTAAACTATGATTTCTCATGGAATATGAATTATGAAATATGAGATTAGCTACAATAAGGGGAATTACCTGTGTTGTCAGTAGATGTAGACCCAAATTACAAGGGAGTCTCTTTTTTTTTTTTTTTTTTTTGGGAGGTTTTTGCTATAGGGCGCGTGCGCTCACCAGACAGACAGAGAGAGACAGAGAGACAGAAAGTGAGAAATCACCCCCCAGGAGGGATGGTCATGCTGCAATCCCTCCTCCTCCATTCTCCTCTCGGGATCTTGGGCACGCACGTACACGCGCACAGCGTGAGTTTTAAGCCACCGGGTTTGGGATGTGAACTGCGGTTGACTATGTGGGAGTCCAGCAACATAGCCATTATGCCAACTGCTGGTTTCCAAGGGAGTCTCATTTTCAGGAAAGAATAGCTTTCCTTTATATCAAATACCAAATAGCTCATGAACAAAAATTTTGTAAATTTCAGTAACATTAAATGAACTGATAATTTTATAAATGTACTTAGTCACTAAAACTATTACCTCTGAATATCTTTCTTAAAAAACAAACAAACAAACAACAACAAAAAAGAGGGCATACGTTCCTGCCACAGAGAAAAGGACAGATGGAGAGAAAGCATCTTCCAACGGGTAACACCATAACTATGTTTTCTTCCTTTCGTCACCCCACCAGAGTCCCAGGCATGCACACACATGCCCATCTTTCTCAAGCTACTAAGGCTGGGATTTGAATGGTAGTCAGCCATGTGGTATCTGGCTCCCAATGCACTGCACTTAACTGCTGCACTGCAGGGCTGTCCTTAGTATCTTACTGTTTACCAAGCACTGTTTTCTGCTCTTGGATTTAAATAGTAAAATATGTTCTATGATTATTTGGGGAAAAGTATACTGAAACTTTTTTTTATGAAATCTACATTAAACTAACCATATTTCATTTCTATTTTCGGAACCCAGCGATCCTATGCTTCCATCAACATTTCTCATCTGGCATCTCTTTAGGTTTTCCACAGGAGCCTTTGGTAGGAGACTGGAAGGCAGAAGGTACCAAGCAGGGTATATAAGGAATAAGTCTCCTTGTTCCAGATTCCATCTATATTTATCTAGAAAATTAGACAACTCCTGCTGGCACTCCGAGCATCACCAGCCTAGGTGATCCTTATTAAAGTTGCCAGCCTCATGCAGAAAGTGTCAGTTCTGTAGCACAAGAGGCCACTCTGTCTTTCTCTAGCACTTCTGTTCCCTGATTCCTCTGAAAATCTAAAATTATCTGCATGGCAGTATCTTCAAAGCTTTTCCTACCAGCCTTGTTGGGTCTTAGCCCAGCCTTCTAATGTCTAGTAATATGATATTCTTTCTTGTTTCTTCAGTCTGAGGAAAAGTTAATGAGCCCTACAGTTAGAGTCTGCAACACATCTATTTCCTGTTTTTTGCCTCTTGGCCTTACAATCTGTGTGTAAGAAGCACTCTGTGTATGATATTCTATTTTGCTTCCTTGTCGCTTATTAAGGCAGTGAGTGGCTTAAATAACCCAGGTCAAAGAAGACAGTGACTTGGAAGGAAGGAAACAGCAGTCAAGACTGAACGGGTATACTTCACAATATCATTTGAGGGTATGACCCTCAGGGATAGATATGATTAGGTGGAGAGTATGAGACAAAATTACTTTTTAAAGGATGATTCTGGTCTTCTAGCTGTCTTAAGGGGAAGGATTGGGTTACCAATCCTGGAGTGCTAGAGTTTGTTACAAAGGAAGAAGACAAGGAGAGAAACAAATTTTGGAGAACAATTTTGTGACATAATAATTTTGAGATGATAATTAGCAACTTAAATGGATCAGAAGTTCAAGCGTTCTATATGAAAGATTCATGTTTTATGTTTGGAGAAAAATGTTTTTTATTTTATATTCAAAACAATGAGATGAGATTCACTCTGACTAAAAGTGAGGGTCTAGGGAAAATAGAGGAGCTTCAAGGACTAAGTACTGAGAATCTACCATTTAAAGGTAGAGGAAATGAAAAGCAACCAACCCAAAGTAACTGAGTAGGAGAAACTGAAGGAGTGGGTGGAAAAACAGGGACTGTGCTTTTCTATAAGGGTATAATAGCGAAATCTAAAGCCGTTGATTGATCAGAGAAAATGAAATCTGAATAAAAAGGAGGGGAGGATTACATATCTAAATGTTGTTTTTGGTAAGAGCTTTCTCTTTTACGTTTAAACTTTCCACAGGGTCTAGTCATAGCAGTACCTCTACCCACACTCCTACTTTTCTGAGTCTCTAATCTAAGAAGATCTCCAGCCAACCAGAGTCATGCCCAAAGGTATTCCCAGCATGCTCAGGTTGACCCAGGAACCAAATCCAGGACTTTCCCACATGGCTCAAATATCACGCAGCAGTGCCTCACCACCTGTGCCACTGCAGCTGAGTCAAGTAAGAGCTTTTTATAGTGCAGCCCTAGAGGCCAGAGTTATTTTAATATATACTCAGTAGAAATGTAGAGAGATCTTGGAAACATAACTCAATAGTTTGCTTTGCTTGGAAGAGGAGAAAATAGTAGTAACAGGAAGGGGATAACAGAGATAAGAGATATGCCATGATTGTATACTGATAGTTATGATCAGTGGGGTGGAGGGGGAGAATTGATGGTGCAGGACAGACAGAAGGATCATGGAAACAATGTCTTTGAATGGATAAGAAGGTTAATGCTGAAGGGGAACACAGCCAGCCATGGTAGTAGTATATATAGAAGGTGGAGTTATAGGCTCAGGTAGGTATGAACAAAAGACAAGCTAGAGGGAACCCAGAGACTTGTGATTACATTTATTTCTTAGATTATCAACTGAGAATGAGGACTGGGGACTGAGAAGTTGATGTTAGAAAAACGTGAATAAAGGACTTGTATATAATATTTATCCAGGGCCCACCAGGTAGTGTGGAGGTTAAAGTAGCTGGATCCCCACATGGCCAGCTAAATCTTTAGAGTACTGGACCAAGCATGAAAAATGCTCTAGCCACATGTGTGTGAGTGCTCAATAGCCCAAAGAGAATGGAGAAGTATCAGGGTGTGGACATCCCCATAAGGTGGAATTTCTCACTTCCTCTCTCTGTCTCACTCTTACGAGTACATGAACCCTGTAGCAAACAAATAAACAACAAAAACAATTATCTAGAAGGGGAAAACAATAAATAAGACTATAAAATACAGTGTGCTCATTCAGAACCAGTGAGCCCTCACTTGATATTTCATTTTAAGTGGCATTTTTGCTATAGGGCACATGCACTTGCTGGAGAGACAGAGAGAGACCAAGAGCTAGAAAGAGAGAAATCATCTCCCCCAGAGGAGATGGCCACACTGCAATTCCTTCACGCTGCAATTCCTTTTCCTCCATTCTCCTTTCAGGATCTTGAGCACACATAGACAGGCACTGGGCATGAGCTTTAGGTGGCTGGGTTCCAGTCTGAATTGCAGTCGACCACGTGGAAGTCCAGAGATGTAATCATTATGCTATCTGCTGGTTCCATTTTTTAAAAATGTTTTGTGCATAAGGCATGTGTAATCATTATGCTATCTGCTGGTTCCATTTTTTAAAATGTTTTGTGCATAAGGCGTGTGTGCTCTCTAGAGAGACACAGTGAGAGGAAAAGTGAGAAGTAATACGCCAGGGGTGATGGCCTGACCACAATCCCTTCCACTCCATTCTCCTCCTGGGATTTTGAATACACATGTAACTAGCATGAGTTTCAAGACACTGAGTCCAGGACTCAAATCACATTCAGTCTTGTGTGAGTCCAGTGCCTTAGCCACTACACCACCTACTGGCTTACTCACTTGAATATATTCATCATACTCAAGTAATATTAAAAATAGTTTTTATATTTTTCAAATATTTTTTATTGAATTAATTGTAGTAGTATATATTTAAGCACAAATATTAAACACAAATATAGATTTGTAGAAGTACAAATTTAAGTATAAATAGTAAACATAAATATAGATTTGTAGTATAGACTTAAATACAAATACAGAGCACAGAGAGGCAGATAGAGAGAGGAGATTAAGTGAAGTATATGATTCTTTCCATGCCATTAT